AAAGTAACTTAATAAAAAATGATTAATTGCATGTTAAATGTTTAACAAGTAACACAATAGAGTTAACAAGCAGTGATTGAGAATTAACAAGTAACATTACTCGTCAAACAATTCAAGCATTACTAGGTAAGTAATCTAACTGGAATATTATTATATATTAGATGTTAAACAAGTAACTTAACAAGATTTAACAAGTAATATGTTAAAAAGTAACATCAGTCATTGAACACCTAACAGGTGATAAATCATTACTCGTTAGGCTACTTTTTAAGCCGTATAATTGACTTCCGGTCAAAAAAATAGTAGTATAATTAACTTGTTAGATGCATAATACTGTCAGTCAGACCCCTGCTGTTATTTGTTAATGTAATAATGTTTATTGTTCAATTTAACTGAAGAAGGATATTTTGTTCATCTTGCTTCCTAATTTAATTTCAATTCAGATATAAAATCTTGTAAATATATTTCAGATTATTTTAGATTTGATCTGTAAATAAGGTCTGTTATTAGTGTTCCTTGGATGAAATTTTCTCTTCAATTTTTAATTAATAATAACATAGCAGCATTCTCTTAAAATATAATTAACAACCTGTTGGCGCAACGGATTGAAAGCAAAGTCCAGTCGTTGGTCCACGGGGTTTAGTGAAGTGTATGTCTTTTCTAATAGCCCGTTTGGTTCATTTCCTACATGTGTTTTCCCTGTTCATGGCATCTGGTAAGACAATATCAAGTAATCAAGATCGCAGGATGGGTTCAGGATTACCAGTAATCAAAATTACATCTACAAACCTATCTAATGAGGATTGCATTGTTCCAAGAGACACTCGTGCCTTCTTTCTCCTCCTTCTTACTGTTCAACTTCTCGGCTCTCTCACCATTTGATTCCTCTTCCTCGTCCGATGAACATGATCTGACAACACTCCTCCACTGGTGACGTTCCTCCACAGACCAACTTCTCAGTCGGCAACGGCTTTTCTCGTCGACATCCTCCACCTCTGACGTGCCTTGCTAACGGCACCCTTCCTCACTGCTAATATTGCGATCTTCTTGTTTGTATGTGCCCTCACAGTTTGCGATCTCAACTTCCGTTGTCACCGTCTCGACCTCCGTTGTCGTGATCTATCGTCGTTCTCATACCTGTCGTCGCATGCTCTATTGATATCTCACCACCATTATTTGCATTTGCCATCGAACGATTATCGGACCTCACAACACCATTCTCGTGTGTCATCTTCTTCTCGTTTACATCTCCCTCCAATCTCATCTTCACCTTCTATCTAATTTTCAAGATTGTTGGATTTCTTGGAGATAATCTTGTGTGGTTCGTGCAGAAATCCATCGCTGTGAAAGGAGGTTGGGAGAGGATTTTCGTTTTCTGTGATCAGGGGTAAAAATGTCATTTGACAATTCTTTTAGTATTTTTTCTTTTAAAAAGTACATCAATTCCATGTCATACCAAACAAGCTTATAATAATCAACCAATCATCTTTACATTACATTTTATTACTTAACATTACATTTCATTATATTCGCTCTTATTCAAGGAACCAAGTGAACACTAATTATTCATAAGCCATTAATCCAATCATTAGAGGCTGTGATAAAAGCAGAATTTTTAAATAGATTGGGTATACCACCTCATTTAATGATATATTTAATTAAAATATATCATTAAAATGATATTAAATATAAATTAATTTTGATATTAATAATTGTAAAAAAAAATGCAAGAAATTAAACATGCATTCTGGTATAGGAATAAAATCAATTAAAATAATGTTATATAAGATTTTATTTAAATGAGTTGGGCTATTCTAATTGAACAAACTACAGATAACATAATATATCAAATCTATTTTAGAATTTTTTGTGATGGAAATAATATTTTTGTTGACACTATGGAGGAAGCATTTTTTTTTTTGTGGGGGGTGTTCAAGAGGAAGCTTGTTTATCGTAGAGACTGGCAAATTATTTTGTATAATATTTTTAAAGAGGAAAGTGCTATTGCTCATTCTTTAGCAAATTATTAACACAGACCAGTGGAAAGTTTCGTATCTTTATCATCATCCATTTTTTCGTTTTCGGAAGTGGAGGATCACGAGAGAAGCTGAGTTCGATATTTTGATGAATGTTTTGGAGTATTAATGAGATATCCAGTTTCGTATTAGAAAAAAAAAAAAAAAGAAGCAGCATCAAACAGAGAACCCAAACTGTTTTTTTTTTTTGGGAGGAAAAAGCAAATTAATGCACGCACAATAAAAATATTAAGGTGTAGTTATATAGTTTACGAATCAAGGAAAGAAACCAAAAATAGAAAAAAGGCAATCATCCTAAAAACAAAGAACCCAAGCTAATGCCAATGCTAGGAAGTAGGAAGTAACGTGAAAGTTATGTTCCTCACGTGAGAGGTGACTAGCCGCCCGTTAACTTGCAAGAGGCTAGGAAATGAATCACGGTACTTGTAAATTTTAGTTAGAATTATAATACGAGGAAATTAATTATTGTAAGGTTTATTGATAACTGAATTAAATTATATTGATAATTGTCAATAATTATAGTAATTAATTTTTTATATAAGATTTTAATATAATTCTTTTTAAATTCTATGAATCATTTCATCTACCATGAATTTTTAACTGAGTATTAAATTATGAATCTGCGGATTATAATATTTACAATTGTTCAATATAGTTTAAGTTTTTTAAATTTTAATTCAAAACATAGAATATGACCATTTATACAATTCCTGTGCAGCAACATAAAACATTTTTTTAAAAGTTTTGTCTAATTCAAAATATAGGGTATTTGGTAATTTTTATAATTATTTTTTAATTATATCCCTACTTCATTTATTGTTCTTTTGAAAGAATAATGTGTTATAATTTCAATTGTTTTTGTTACTATCAAGAAAATTATATAAAATTTTTAATAAGAATATAATTGGAAAGATGTAAAATTTTTAAAATAATAAAATCTCAAATATTTTTTCTTAAATTGTGAAGTAGTTATCAATATTCTATATTATAATGTACAAGGAGTAGATTAATTTGCAACAATTGGAGTTGATAATAATAGTCAAGCTTGACGAGTCGCCCATTTAAACTCATTTTTATAAGGACTTTGGTTTGAAAACATGGAAAGTCGGGCTATAAAGCCCGACCATAATAAGCCTTAAAAAAAGGAAATCGACGGCCTTTTAAGCTTGTTTTATTTTTACATGTAAAAAAAATAAATTTTAATTTTTAAATTAAATTTAAACTTTAAAATACATATTTATACTTTAATACAAGAATTTTTATTATTTATTATTCATTTTTTAATATTATAAATTGTATTTTTAAAAAATATAAAATATTATAATTAAACATTTTTAATTTTAAAAATCCAAAAAAATAAAAACAAATTTACAAGCTTAGCCTTAAATCTTATTAATAAGAGTCATGTTTTACAAAATGATAAATTTGAGGCAATCAAATTTATAAGTTTGAGCTTTAAAGGGCCAAGCCCATAAAACCTAGGTTCATGTGAGTTAAACTCACTTGATTCTCATCTCTAGCAACAATAAATATAGTGCCACATTAGTTAAGTTACAGTGCACTTCTTTTGTGGTGCCCCTCCCCTTAGTTATAAGCAATGATATTTCAAATTCTCTCATGTATTTGTATTGATATTGTATTCTATATTAATACTCATTAATACTTTTTCAACACATATTCATAGAGTATTGAAACGTTATTTTTAAATTTTAAAAAATTTTAATTTTTAATACATATCTGATACTTCTAGATTACTAGTTAATGATTTAAAACTGATACTTTGAGGCTATTTAAAAAAAATTAAAATTTATTAAATATTTTTATATTATTTTTATTTCTAGTATATTTTCATAATTTGCTTTTAAAGTTAAAGATTAAATTTTTCTTAAAAAAAGTTTTAGATGTAATAAAAGGATAAAATTATATTTTTTTAATTATAAAAATGTGGAAATATAATCTTTTGACATATAAACCCTAAATATAGAACTATTGACAAAGACTAAGTGGTAAGTAATTAGATAGAAATGAATTAAAAGTAGAATTAATGATTATATTCTGCTTGATATTATTATAAAAAACTATATATGTGTGTTAGGTTGGATATGTTTTAAATTGGAATTATTTTTAATGTTGTTATAATTTTTTATAAATATTTTTGCATGTATCGAAAATATATCATATCTTATAATTTTTAAAATAAAAATATTAACGTATGGAATACATATTTCATTTGAGACATGTATCATCTGTGCAATATAACCCCCTAGTTTCTTTCAACTTTCAATCCCACTGCCAGTTCTTTTTTTTTTTTTTTGTGGCACTACAATTCTAGCTGATTTCAAAGGGAGGAGGCAAAAGATTTAATCGTAGATGAACTCATCTTTATATTTATTTTGAATTTAATTTTTTTTGAAACTAAGATTTTATAAATTTCATGAAATTTATATTTTTTTTATCTCAAATTATAAGACACTTGTAGATAAAATTTTACATATTAATAAGCCTCATTAAATCTACTTAATAACTTTATCTTTCTAAAATAAAAATATAAATTTTTAAAATATCAATAATTTATTATATTAAAAAGAGAAGAGGCAAAAATTAATTAAAAGGATAATATTAGAATAAGTCTATTTAATAAAATTTTAATTTTTTAGGGTGTTTTATATTTTAGGACATTGAATCTCTTTCAAAAGTGTCAAAAAATTATATTTCATAAAAAAATAATAAAATAACTAAAAAATATTAAAAAAACTTCATATAAATTTATAAATATGAATTTTAAAGGACTTAAATCAACCCATTTCTTCCCCCTTTTTTTTCATTCACATCACCAGTAAAAAATTATAGGCATAAGCCTGCAACTGCAAGTGAATCCTCGGATAAGCAGGCAGCAGTTCAGTTTGGGTCGGATAGGTTTGCATGGTTGGTGCTTTTTTAAAACCTGCAAAGAAGACTAAAAAAAAAAAAAAACACCAAAGTCAATAAAACATGAGAAAATTATTGAATTGAAAAAAAAAAAAAAAAACAAAGGCTCTTTGAGCGGGAGACACTCGTTCGGTCGTTCCATCTAAAATTTTCCCCCCGTCCCTCCGTTCCGCTTCAGCGAAAGGGACTTCGTCCTTGGCATTCTACGGTTACGGTGGTTGCTTAAAAGTGTAGCGATGGCAGCCTCTTCACCTACTTGAGAATCCGAATATGCCGCTTTTCCACAATCATCAACGGTGAGTGCTTCGCTGTTTGTTCTTCGCCATTAAATCTTCTTGCGATTACTTTAATTATTGCTTCTACTCTCCATTACAAGAATTTCTTCGATCTTGCTCTTGAATTCTGGATTTCTGGAGATTGAGAACTACCCAAATGGATAAATAATTGCTTGTGCTACTGTATGCTGGAAAGTTGTTTCATCTTCTGTTCTCTCGATGGATTGTTATTAAGTTTGGTTAATTGACTATGCTGGGAGCTTTGGTTTGAACGTTACCTGAAAAAACGGACAGAAATTCTCTGTTTTCATAAATTCCAATGGTTCTGCTAAACCACGCAGGCATATCAAGTGAAGTACTCCAAGGTGCAAGGAAGAACATGCTTAAGATGACCAAGTGAGTTGGCTGATCATTGATCATCCTTATTATTATTAACCTTACAAACATTGCTTCTTTGTTCAATTGAAAACATATTGTTTTTCGTTCTCAATAATTCAATTGGTACGCGCAAGAAACAGGCTAATTCCACGAACGAAGATCCAAGTACTCTACTTTTTCATTATTTCTACGCTGATAGAAATACTGTCAGTCCGAGTCCGCGCACTGTGATATGTTTCCCTCGAATGTTTTGCTGTCCTTTTCGTTTGTCGATTTTGTCAGTGTTCATCTTGTTTGTTAAATCGCGAAATTTTTTAGCAAATATCTCCTTCGTCCAAAATATCCAGAATGAAAGTCCTAATCGCGTTCCTTTTCATGCTGTCATTAGAGCTATAGAATTTCCTGTCAACTAACAAGTTCGTTTCTATCTCATCATTTTGCTCAGTTCAAACCACTCCAACCGGAAAGTTGCATTTCAATGTACTCTCTAACATTAATCTGTTCTTATTTCTGTCCCCCGACCAATCATTTGCAGCGAAATTAATGAATATTGCTCTGCAATTGAGCAAGAGGTTGAGTAAATATTATTCGATTGAGAGGAAGAGAGGCTTAGATAAGGAGGAGGAGCGATTTCAAAAAGCTGCTCATGCTGTTAAGGATATGCTCAACAAGGGTTAAGAGAATGTGAGATATAATTTTAAACTTCAATTTCACTTGAGATTTAATTTTAGTTCACAAATGTCTCCATACATTCGAGGCAGTTTTTCCTCAATATAATATAATGTTGCCTGCCAACTATCAAGTAAATAGTCAAAATTTGTCTTAGTACTGTCACTTAGAATAGCATTATAGCAAAGAGATCAGCCTCTGGTCACTGCTTTATTTTACCTTTAGAAGATATATAACTTATCGTTCTCTCTTATGACGCTTATTTTTTCTACTTCTGAGCCATCTGCCATAAGAATCTTGCTTCCTCTTTTCCCAAACTTCTTCTCTGCGCACACAGTTTAACAATTCACCTTGTCATTACATTCTGCTGTCCCATACTTACGTTTGATTCTAAGGTCTGTGATCAGAAGAATAGAGCTCAAGTGTGGCCTTCGAATTTTCATCATATAAACTCACTCGGGGGCTAACTTGGATTTGCTCTACTGTGAAGTATCAAGTCTGATTTGTTGCCTCATAAAAAGATCTAAATAATTGCAACCCTAGTCTTTTATGATTGATTTTTTTAATTATTTTACTTCAAACTAATTTCTAAAAATGGCATGCAATGAGACAAGGCTTTCATGTTCTTACACACCTCTTTATGCTTTATTTGACGCTTGTATCTTTTGGGGAATAATGTGTCTTTTTATGGATTTTATATTTTATATTGATATTGATTGTTTTTTAATTTCATTTCATAGTATCATTTGAACTCAACCTTAAATTCGTTACAATCATATTCAGTCTAGAGTCAATCATATATCAAATATCATGAATGTAGATATACCTGCTAATTTGAAAAGTTCTTCCATTGTATCTGGGAGAAGTACTAGTGCCTGTGAGGCTTGATTTTCCTTCCGGTTCTCTTTAGGATGATGTCCATGAATTTTCACTCTGGGCGGGACTAGACTTGACCTTGGATTAGAATTTCCTTTCTTTCCTGCAAAAGAGGCACGAGTCTTTATCAATAATGTGCGTAAGGCTTATCTAACGATATTAATTTATTATTTTTATTCTAATAACTAAATTTTACATCTTGTGCGATGCACGGGGATACTGCAGAGGAAGGAATATTTTAATGAGTTCAATTAAAAAAAATGGATAAATGGGTTTGGATTTTTAATTAATCCTCCTACATCTTATTTCCATTAAAATTTTTTAACGCTACTTCTCTATTTTTTAAAACCAGAACTAATTAAAATCTCCCCATCCCTCCTGTCCGACCAAATAGGGGTAAAAATTAATAGAAGTTAAATATTGAGTAAATATTGATTTGATATTTTTACAATAAATAATAATGTTTAAAAGATGTAAAATAAAATTATATAAGTAATTACAAATAAATAACTATAACAATAGAAGTATCAATAACTACACTTTTTTATTTCACGAGCAAAAGTAACTATAACAATCAAAGCATGTTTTTAGTATTTAGAAGATAGAAATAAACAACAATTTGTTTTATTTTCACATAAATACTTTAGAATTTCTTATCTCATGCATACTAGAAGATACAGAACAATTTATTTTTCCAAAACTTTTCACTTTATACAAATTAAAATTTATATATTTTCACTAGATTTGTAGTGATTTCCCACTGCAGTGGACAGAAGGGGAGTTGAATTTTTCATTGCACGGTCACACCGTGAATCGGGTTCACCAATGTTTAGGAAAAATATCACACACACACACACACACAAACGAATTGCATATCAGTGTTTCCGGAGTACAATTTCACTGAACCCTCAAATGTCCATTGGTTCTGGTCTTAATGGCTCTGCACAATGTCTGCTCACAGTAGACTAAGATTAACATGTCTTGTGGTCTTTAATGTATAAAATCAAGGTTACCTTGTTTATATGGTTCATCTTCATGATAATTTGAACCTTCATCATACATGCCTTGTTCTTGTGTTACCTGCTGCAAGAAATGCAAAGTAATAATCACACGCTTGTATTGTACTTACTCATAATGTATGACCTGATTCATTATGTCTATATGATGCCATAGTTATTATATTATACTTTTCTGTACCATAGAATAATATATTCTTTTGCAAGGGGTCTAAAATTGACTATTAGTGAGGTAAAAAATGTGGATATACCTCAAGATGAAGGTCCCTTAACAATTCTGCCAGATAAGAAATTTCTTCTTGCACCCTCTTTTTCAAGCCCTTCAAGTACTGAGAGATGAACCAGCAAAAATAAACAGATAAGATCTAAATGGTTTCTGAAATAAGTAACGCGTACATCCTTCGTATCAAACTTTTTCAAATTTGAAGAAATGCGTATGGCATCTCTGATGTATTATGATAAGCATGTGTGATAAATGACACGTACTAAACTTCAGTAAAAGAAAAGGCAACATATGACATGTCTGAACTGTGAAACCTGATTGAAGTTGGTGACAATTGCTTTCCCATCATTACTATATGGTTGCACCATTTGCTTGAAATGATCATGACTAATTCGGACGACTTGGGAAAGCCTCCTACATCTCACTGTGAAAGGTTGGGGGACATTAAACATAACTCCTATTTCTCCTGCCATCCCTCCATATTCTAGTTTCAACAAATGCTGAAATTACTTAAGTTCAGTCAAACGGTGTAAGAATATTTCAGCTCGAAAATAAAGAAGGCAATTTTGAATTTGTTCCAGAGAGTTTTGTTTTACTTCTTGGTTCATATGTTTATATGTTACTTTTCACGAGTCATTAGGAGGAGTACGTGTTATGACCATTTTAACTATGGATATCAATGTACCTTCGAGGAAAAAATGTCTGAGATTCCATCTTACCTGTTCAGTTCCATTCATGTAGATTAGCACATCCTGCAATTGGAGACAGTGAGCTATTGCATTTCAGACTACAACAAGACTCAAATGTAAGAGATGAATGTTTTACCACTGCTCCAGATACCAAAATATAGAAATATGATGGCATCTCATTTTGCAAGATAATGTCAACCTTAGGCGGGTAATATTCTGCTTTGATTTCTGACGCCTGAGTGTTTAAGTGCTGCCGCCTATTAGTTGCTGTTGCCGTTTAACATAATTAGACTCTTTCCTATTACCAGCTAGAAGGGAAGAAAATCTTTTACCAGTTGGGTGATAAAATGATCAGAGACTCCTTTAAATAAATATGCATTTCCAACTATGTCACGGAAAAGATGCTGAGCGATGCTCGATCTAATTGCCTTTGGCAAGTCCTGTAGCACTTGTTCTTGCTGTAGCGCTGCTGTTCTAAACTTCAACTGAACGTGTGCCAGCACTTGCTCTTTTAAGCCTTCTGGGAGTCTATTTTTGCTTGCATATTTCCGTGTTTGGTTGATGGCATCCCTCTACATAGTAGGTGAAGAATGTTAATTTTGGTATGGCCTCATAAATTCCGAGAACCATGTGATAGTTTGACAGGGGAATATATTGCCCATTTATGCCTAACTTAGAAATTAGAGGCGTGAATATGGGCTACCCGGACTATATGAGTGGTATGTAAAACAAGCTGGGTTGGGTCAGCTCGTTTTTGTGAGTTGGAATTTTTTCAACTTAATCTAGATCATGAGTTAGGTTGAGTTAATTCATCAACTCATAAAATTTTTCCCTTATTTAGAAAAATCGATAATTTCTGAAATCTAAACCTAATGATAACTCATGTAATCCATTTTTTATCCATATATCACACAACCCACATCATCTAATTTTAATGTTACATAAATCACATTCAAGAAACCTAAGACAAAGACATGCATATTATCCATGATCCACACATTGCCACGTAACGCATTGTACATTAAGAAATTCACATACACCATAGCAATGACAAAACTCTATCATTCATCAATCATAAAAATATTCGAATCTTCCTTCGAATTTAACATAAAAGCTTGCAATCTGTGCGATAGACTGAGATGCTAGTGTCGTAGACTGTAATGACAAAGTGAAGAACGATATTTAAATTATCATACCATCGCATGAGTTCGGACAGTGCCATGGACGACCAGATTTGTTATGTTTCCGATTATATATGCACTGAGGCCAATGTTAAAGAGCATATATAAGATAGTGAAAATTTTCTCGCCCATATTCACGGCAACAAAATCTCCATAGCCTACAGTGGTAAGAGTAACAATAGACCAATATATGGAACGCGTGTATCTCCGCCAGACGCTCATGTGTTCAAAATCTTGTGTCGGCTTCCCAATCCATGTGTTCCCAGGGTTTGTGTCTAGGGCAGCCAACCAATAATACATGCAGCCTGCGACATGGACTGCAAATAGCGTAACCTGTGGATAAAAACAACGAAAACTGAAGCATTAATGAAACTTGTATAATTAGGCAGTTTGGTGATTATTAGTCTCAAAGATGGTTGAGAAGATACTACGCTTACACATATAAGTTTACAAAATCTTGTGGCCGAGTAGCTAATTCGAATGTCTTTCTCTAGCCTGCAGAAAATCATTGTGGTTTCGATTACGCACGTGAAAATATGTAGCGATATTCACCCTCAGTCCGTCCTGTTTACCCCGTTCAGTTGTGATTGTCTCTGCACTTTCCTGATAAATTTGTTTAGAAATGCTTCCGAAAATTTACCCCCCCTCTAGTCTCTAATGATTCGGCCATCAATTAAGGTTAGCTTATGTGACAATAACTGGTTCTAGTTTTGATGAAATGATTTGCTTAGGAGCAGGGAAGGGGTAGAGAATTGATTTAATATCTGTCAGGGAAATCTTTTCCATCTATGGACACACACCATTCTGTGCTTTGGAAATATTTTTGATGCTATCTTTGTGGGGACAATGGGTCCTGGTCACTAGTCAGTTAGCTTGCAAAGCATCAAACTCAAATTCTTAACTACAGTATTAGGAATCTACCTTGCAAAAAGCTGGCAACACGCCTTAATCGCCAAAGCCTGAGCATATTCATGAAACCCAAGACCTCTCCGTACGTTTTACCCATCAGAATTTGGTATATCTGCAGAAACGGCAAAGTTGCCGCCACGTCCATGGGAAAATCTAACTTTCTCAAGTACCTGTTCAAGTCAAGACGCCAAAATCTTGTGAGCACCAACAATAGAATCAAGGGTATCTGTCACTGCTTTGTGGTCTGTCATTGGAAGGCTTTATTACAGACTTGCCCTCTGTAAGTCTTCGCACCATACATTCGTTGATTGTCAAAGCATACATTTATATTATACACACCTGAAGGCTATCTTCTTGTGGTCATCAACGAGGAGATAGGTTGATGTGTCCAAATAAGCCACAAAGAAAGTTAGGACTATATCAATGGCAAAGAAGGCATCGGCGAGTAGATCAACGGGCCACAACGACCCAACTGCCACGTCTGTGAAAGCCAGCTCGAATGGAGATGCCCATGCAGAGTATACGACCAAAGCAACAAGGAATGTCTGCCACAGCCTTCATTGAAGAAGGGGAAAAAAACCTTCAGCTCTGCTCTTGTTTAGGAAATTAAGGACACACATAGAACAGATAAGCTTATGTGAAGGAGTTTGATTTACCGATATCTATGATCAAAGGGAGTGATGACATATTTTCTAATGTTTAGGTGACCGTCATCAGCAATGTTGGCGCCAAATGCTGGTAAGAGGTTGCTTGAAAATGAGGCCAAGGCCAAGTTTCTGATTTCATCACTTGAACGACTTCTAACTGGCAATGGTAATGGTGCCTTATTTTGATTCATTGACTCCTAAGTTCTAATCAGAATGCCTTCTGTTCTTGTTTAGGAAAGAAAATATAAATTAGAATTGGCAAGTTTTTGCGAAGGAGTTCAATTAATCTCTATCTACTATCAAAGGGAGCAATGTTGGTGTCAAATTCTGGTAAGAGGCTGCTGGAAACCTAGGCCGAGTTTCTGATTTCATCACTCGAACGTCTTCTAACTAGCAATGGTAATAGTGCCCTGTTTTGCCTTACTGGCTCAATGGCTTCCTTCTATGTTCTAAGCACACGCACGTGCGCAGGGAGAGAAGCTCTTGTTAATTGTTATCAACGTTCTATGCAAAATAAGTGTTTGGCCAGTTATTGTTAAAAGGGGAAAATGTGAAAAAAAGGAGGGAAAACATGATAGGGGCAGTGGTAGGGAGTTTCATGAAAGAGTATGAGTTATACGTAGTTTATATCGTTAAGTGGACAAAAAGACAACCTCATTACGAACTTTCTTGTCTCCCCAAAAGTATTTTCCTTCTCAGTATGACAAAAACTAGAAGAAGCGAACTCTTGGACTCCTCGCTCCTGTTTACTTTATTCTATCTCCGGATGGTTTACGATGGCATCAAGGTTGAGTCATAAATTTATCTTATTTTTAATTATTCGAATACTTTGCGTCATTTATTACAAATTTTGTAAAATCGGTGCATTCAACACCCCCTTACTCTTTTCCGGCTCGCGAGTGAAGAAAATAAAGACTTGACTAAAAAAATTTATATTGATTTAGAAAATCAGTTAGAATTAATTTAATACTTCTAAAATTTCAAAATTTTTCTCAATAGAGTTTATTAATTAGAGTAATTTGTTTTGTTGATTAAGTTGTTTAGTTAATCAGAAAAAAATCAAAATAAAGGAAATTGAGGAGAGAAAAAATTAACTCTTTGGACGAGGAGTATTGTATTGACAATAGATATCCTTGTTATAAGGATAGAAGGAAGTGAACTTCAATTCAAAGTGAGGAGTCGCTCTGCAAAAATGCAGACATCGCACTCTCCCTAACATCCTTGTTAATGTCTTGTTAAACAACTTTTCCATTCTATCATAAATACAACAATATTATCAACAAAAAACACTAGGTAAGGTCAATTGCATAAATTATAAAATGTCATTGTACTCTATCATTTATTAAACTTTTCATTCTATCATAAAAACATTCAAAAAATAAAAAGACCATGACTTTGAAAGTTGACTCCACCCCTCATTTCAACAATCAACATACAATCAACGCTTCTGCCAAATCCATGTATTTTAATTAAATTGCTTTTCGACTCAAGCTATTACTTAGCCACAGAATGCAATCATTTTATGATTCTGATGCCATATGAATTTAATTTCGATCTGTCTGCTTGCTTTTCACTGAAGCAGCGTTGAACACACAGGCACACACGACAGCAAGGGAGTTGTGACACCAATCCCTGAAAATCTACCTGAATATCCTAACAATAACGACGACGACAATAAACCTTATTCCTCTAAGTGGGATTGGTCTTATGAATTGCAAGATGTCATTCTATGCTATCCTAATAAACTGATTTAAATTAAATCCTAAAATAAACATTGTGTGTTAAAATCACGTGACTAATAGCAGCAAATTTACATATGGTGCCTCATAAATTCCAAGTACCATCGTCTTTGACAATCAGGTGGTCCCAGTCTCAGAATCTCCATCAAATTATTACTTTTGGCTGAACCTTGTGATAGTGTAATCGCTGCTAGGCTCTCCAACTCGGTTATGGACTGATAGCAGGCAGCGACATCCGTCTTTAGGATCTAGCTTGAAGTCTGTATACCTCAACCAGATATACAATGCTTTTTCGTTTTGTGGGGGGGGGGGGGGGGGGGGGAGACAAACCGTGATTTTTGCAGCCGTATTAGGTACGCTTTGCTTTCCTCATGAGAAGCTATTATTCAACTTATAACCTTCAAACATCAAGCGCATAACCAGAAGATGCGCAGAGGCAGGCCCACAGTACATGTGAATTCCCCCAGCCATATATTACATATACTGAGCTAACCATTGCTTACACATATCAAGCACCGGGAGTGCACTTGCATGAAGTGCCTGCAAGAACATTGACACGAAGTTAAGATAAATTGATCCCTTGTCAGTTGACTAAATTGCCTATGGGCAAAGATAACGTTAGGCAAGTGCAACCATCTTTGCTGGCGTTAAACTCCTGCAAGCTTGGGTTGGTTATAAGCAAGAAAAAAACCAGGTAATATAAGCATTAACTCCCCACCTTATCCTATAGAGAATTGTGAATGGTGGGAACAACATTCACTTTGAGAACTAAGCGTGTGTTTGGATGTTTGTTTTGGACATCCAAAACCAACATTTCCCATACGTCCGTTCTCTTGGGAGAAAACAGACACCCAAATGTATTCTATCTTTAAGGTGCATGCCATCCTTATGTCTGGGAAAAAATGTAATCATCAAATGACAAACCCCAATTTGGCCGAGTGAATGACAAACAATAATACGTAATCGCACCAACTACATACATACATACATATATATATATATATAAGCGAAACATGATGCATGCTCAAATAGGAAGTGCGTTAAAGGTTCTATTGTAATAGACGGGTTCAAGGACCTTCGATCATATGCAAGGCTTAAACTCAAACATGCAGTTGGTTAATATTTGGAAAGTTATGATGACAAGCTCTTTGATCCTATGCACAGTGTAAACTCAAGAACACGTAGTTGGTCAATATTTGGTGAGTTATGATAACAAGATTTAGAAAGTGGAGCCTAAGATTTAGATGAGGTTAACCTGATGAGCAACATATTGAACATCAGCCACACTTCCACTCCGAGAAGCAATTTGAAATGCACTTTTTAGACGACCACAGACCACACAAGCAAGAACCTTCCTGTACGGGCATGAGAATAAGTTAATCATGTTAACTTGGCTGGTGCAATACTTAATGCAGAAAAATGAAAAAGACACGTGATGTTGTGTATTATGTATAACAATAGACAGTGTAGAACGGCCTTTTAAGACTGATGAAAGCGAGACACACACACACACACACAATAAAACAACATCCTAAACCCTATTTTGTACAAGTATAATATACTTCTGAGTGCGAATGATATTAAATCAAAATGCAAATTTTTCCATAAAAAATTCCCAAATAATAGAATAATCCTAAGTGCACAAAGGAAACAAAAGAAATATATAAAACCTCACCTGTGGCTGCTAGTTAACATGTCTATTAGACGGTCTGGACGTTCTTTGTGCTTGTTAGCATATACATTTATTGCAGCACCCAAGACCTATGCCATTCAAAACATTCACATGTTACTAAAAATTATTAACATAGGCATCCTTGCTATCAACAGAGATATTTCTTTTCTCTACGGATAGGACCAAGCTTCATTTGATAGACAGGGAACATCTTAATTTCAGTGTACTTTTGCAACTCAATATATATATATATATATATGCTGCATCCTTATTTCAATGGGAAGAGTTCTCTCTCAATGTATGGTTGGGTGGTGTGGTACCCTGTTTGTCCATAAGATGCATCTTGATTCCCACGACACTAGAGGGACATAGCTATCAAGTACATAGTACCATGTTTAAGCACAGCACTTTAAATTAGACACTCATTCAACGGTAGCACTTTTTAAGATTATTCACCAAGCTTCCAAGTTTTTCCCCCCCTAAATCTGTTAAAGAAGCATAAAAGTCTTCAGCATTAAGCTCTGGCACTTGAGATATTGTATGGAAAACGTTTATAGTTTCCAAACATCTAAGTTCTCCAAGTGGCAGAATATTCTGGACCAAATTAAAGAGTTCTATCAAGACGGCAAATGATCTCCTTTTCTGTTCAGTTACTAGAAGTGTAAAAGAAAGTTCAATCAATTACCTGGTCCCAATCATCGTCATCTATTGTGCCCTTAATGTTTTTGAAGAATTCTGTCAACTGGCTGCCTCTTTTTCTTTCAGCAAGAGATGCAGCAACACTAGCATATATGTCAACAGCTGCATGACATAACAAAAACGTCAGGCTGACTGTGTCAACAACATAACCTCTCCGGTCAAAATCAGTAGTGCGAAACTGAAGATAGAAAGACAGATTGAGAAGGGAGTTATCAGGCTACCAGGAAGATTGAATTCATAGATCACTTGGAACGCCAAATCAAAATTCTTTTCCACAAGAATCTCTGCAATCTTACACCTTCGCCTAAAATTCAAAATATCATGAGCGTGTTTGAGGTAATATCATTATAAAAAGCATAAACTGCTGAAATGGCGCCTACTACAAATATCTGCATGCATGATATACGATTGATAAATAAATGGTAGTGGCATACATGGAGTAGTCTCAGCGGTTGTTAGAGCCTTAAAAAATTCAAAGAACACTCTAAAGACTAAGTTTCTTAAAAGCACACATGTCAAAGTATTTTTTTAATACATCACAGCAGACAAACTGATGGTTAATATATACAAGAATGTACGCTTTAAGATTAATAAGAGAAACAAAGTGACAAACCTGAAAGTTTCTAAGTCATTTGGATTCCCAAAAAGGGAATTTTTCCACTGTGGGCCTTCTGGATCGTTGAAGGATTTAACAACTTCAACCTGCAAAAATTATCAGCAGACGTGAAGCATGGGAATGAAACACAAGATTACATGTCTTTACATATCAGAATATGGGCACATTTGAAATGATTTGCTGGAAGAATAGTTCTTAAAAATAACAACAAAACACGCAGACACACTCAGAAAACTTATTTGACTGAAATGGAAACTACCTCGAGGATCACTTCTCATTATTTAAGTGTCTGGCCGGAATTCGAATGTCACAACACTGATTCTAATATATGTCATTGTTTCTACTTTTTTGTTTTTGTGAAATAAAAGAATCACACCACATTAGACTCGGCAAAATCTGAGAAGACTTATCCAATTATCCAGAGAAAGAAACGCCCATCCCATGGGAGATTGTATGGCACGTTCAAGGGCACACTGATATGCCACGTCTAATTCAAAACTGCCAACATTAACATGACTGCGTCTAAGCATTCATATTGGCATGCTCTTTCAAAAGCAAACTAACATGCATTTCAGCAAAACTGTTCAACATTGTCTCCCCAGTCTTGATCTCAACATTAGTTACTTTCTGGCCTCAACATTAGTTAATGAAAAACCATGTTTAGCGTACTAGGCATCTCCAATTACCTGGATTGATACCCGTGCAGAAAATTTGACAAGACCTTCCTCAGAGAGCTTCTCTGAGGCACTTTTCCCTCTTAGACCTTTTGTTACAAGCCTGGTAGAGTCACCACCTTTGTGTCTAGCAGACAACCCTTCATCAAAATGCATCTGCATCATTTTTTTTTTTTTGTTGGGGGGGGTGTGGAAGAGGAGCAAACAATTAACAAAGAACAGGATAAGTGAATTAAAGGCATGAAATTATGATAGTTTGAGGCAACAATATATGTCAGTCTTGTTAATTAAGAAAAACAAATGTGTCTTCCATCCATTTGTTCTTCTTTTCCATTTTTTAATATGTACAATGCTCTGAAGCTAAAAGAATGGGTGTTGAAAAGACTTGGTTCTGCGTGGGCGCGCGCACGTGTATTTTTGACAGCATAAGAAATTCTTTGATGGAGAAGAATGCATAACTAGATGAAGGATAAAATATCCTCTGACCAGAAAATACAGGCTCAAAACAAACATAATAATAGAAAACCTATAGTGGCAAAAGTGCTCTCTGATCTATGTATACATCAGATGAAGTGATTCCCTTATTGATGTGCTAAGCACCCAAGGGAAGCCACATAAAGTGTCGAGGCTGTCAAGATCAAGATCCTATACAGGATCAACCAAATGGTTAAAAAATAGAATTCATCAGGGTGTTTAATTGTTTCTTATCATTGGTTAACTAGCTTTTAATTCTGATTAGTTTCAATTATACATATCATATACTCCCTCTGGTCCACAATATAGGGCATTGGTAACTACAAAACCTTAATTTTCTAAAACATTGTATATCCTTCTTATTATACCCTTGCATGGAATAATTATAATATTTGACTTATTTAAGACACCCTCATTAATTGTCCTATATAAGTATCTCAATAATGAATTGAAATTCCATTGGACCATTCTTTTAAAAGGACTAGTAAATGAAGTAAGGGTGTAATTGGAAAAAAAAAATATAAAAACTACCCAATACTTTATAAAAAAATTCCACTGGAGGGAGTATGATTAATTTTCTATTTAAGTTCTTTCCCTTCTCTGTTTCGCAGAGATTAAGGAAGTATACAGTCCTCTTGAATCAGTGATTGCAGCAAATTTGTATCCATTGGGCTATAAAAATCCTGATCAATTCATACTCATTTTTGCCCAAATCTTCTATATGCGAGTCCCTTTCCTAGTTTTCTCTTCTTATTAAATTATGAGCATACCTTAGCATGTTCCAAATGTTTAATAGCTTCCTCTTGTAAAGAAGAATTAACAAATAGTTGAATACAACAGAGTCCAGCAGCAACATGGTCCTTCTTAATTACCTGTGTACAGGTAATTGTTAGAATACTGAAACATCTCTCACAGAAAAATTAAAATTAAAATGTCAAAACATTTTCCACATCTAAATTTACAGCATGGTCCATGTTTTGTGGTCCTGGAAAAACATGTTTCATGCAGAAAAGTACCAGTCAGAGAATCATTTTTAATTTACAATACAAATTTAATGCACATATGGAAAGTAACTATGGGGATCGCACAGCAGAAGGATGACCAAAAGCAAAGCCATATTAATATTCGTAGCAGGACTAACAATGACAACTCTCAGATATTATCATTGTAACATCCTGCTTTGAGCTTGAAGAGGTAATAAAATTGTTGAGGCTCCACCTATCGCTTCTTCTCTTCATGGAACCTTCTCCCTAAACCCTTTCTATTTGAAATCTCCAACAGCCTCAAATGCTCACCATTTCTCTTCATTAAAATAAATGTTTTGTAAAGCTCATCTAACCAAATAAGCTTGTTTCTATGGTATGCGTGGAAGAGAATGCCATGCCATATTTGAGCTTTCTTCATAGCTCTTCCTGCTTCTATTTTGTTTTAAAGTATTTCAATAAGGGAATGGAGTGTTGGACTATATGTAATAAGATGAAAGAGAGTGATTGATTGTAAGGAAACAGAATGAGTGGAAGAAAACATTATTTTTGGTCAATTAATTGCATTTTATCCTGGACTTGTACAATTTCTATTTTGACATCTTGTATTCAAAAGCTTGTTAGCCATAAAGGACTATTTAAGACCATTTCTTACCATAGTTTACAAATCTAATTATCTCCTAATTTATTATTAACTATCCTGATTCACTTTGTAATCTGCATCAAATTCCTCAACAATTCTGTTATGTCTAAGCTTAAAGCAGGACATTACAAATGTCAACTTTCTAGAGCAATTAAAAGTCATGCATTATCCTTTAAAAGTAACCAATTTGAACCTTTATAGATCAGTTTCCAGGGGTCAAAAGGAATACACAAGCATCAATAGCAGAAATTTTCTTGCTTTTAGATTTAAATTAATACATGAAAAAGGAAAAAAATTACCTGAAACCTGTATAAATAATTAAAATGCTTGTGGGTTTCACAATAGATGCAAATTCGGGCAAGGGCTGCAGCTGTATATTGATCCACCACTAAATCTTGTGGTTTATCTAATGACATTCTTGTTGAAATGACTTCCTCCAAAATAGGCATAGCACCATAACCAATGCAGAAGTCACACAGATCATCAATTGTTCCATAATCAGTAGCTAGAGGATCTGGTCTTTGAGGAGACGAAGTCACCCCACTGATTATTGATGGCTGTGGGGGTAAGGGAACAGCATCAAGAGGAAAGAATAACAAGCAAGCGTCATGGTAGTGACCATGCCTAAATAAAAATCCAAGCAAATGCTGACGTGCGTACTGCAAAATTAAAAACCAGAATTAAGAAATCCAAAATTAGCACCAAATTGCAAAGAAACAAGGCATTCTAAATGCACATAAAAGATACCAAGAATAAAAAATGCAGTTGAACATTTTAGAGAAGAAGAAATAAGGAAAAGCCAAAAAACTACAAAGAAGGTTTCTTTTTTTTTTTAAATAAAAAAACTTAGAAGACTTCATAAAAGCCCTGCAAGAATATTTTGCATACTCCACAAAGATTCCTAGCTATATTAATCAAACAAAATTAGGTGAATCACAAATGGTATTTATTCATCATAATTGATTACAGATAAGGGCAATGATCACCTCTTGTAAGTAGGTAACACATTCATTGTATCGGGCATTATCCAAGTTGCTCCGGGGACCATCATAGAAGTCTGGACTATATATAGAATTATTTGTAGAATCCTGAGACCGTCTTGATCTCTCTGAACGTGGAAATGTTGATGGCATGTACAGGATATTGAGATATGAATCAGCTGAAAGAGAATCATCCAAGATTGTCGGAGCACTTTTAGCGAAATGATCATACCTGCAGCATTACCAGCAATAGTTAGATTTAGTTGTCCATGAAGCTTGGAGACTGATGTAGGCAAGGACATAGACACTTCATTAAATATTGATCAAGACATGACACAGCATATTTAATTTTTTTAAGCATTTTATGCTCTTATTTTCTTCAAAAAAGTTAACTAAATCAGATGTTGATGATGTCTATATCCAACCTATTCATGCACAAGCAGAAAGAGAAAGGAATGCAATTTAATTTTCTCATCAAAATGGGCATCTGCTACCTAGTTTTCCATTCTAATTTTTCCTCTGTCTTTTCCCATTTTTCTTGGGGTTATCTGTGCCCAAGCTGTGCTCAATGCATGATCAAATCACATTCAATGCGTCATCCAAGCCCAACAATTAAATATTTGACTCTCATCTGGCTAAGCTTTTGCCTAAAAATAATCCTAGTAGTTGCGGCAAAATGAAACTGTGATAGAGGCATAAGATCTTACATTGAATGAACTGCTGAAACATCCACCGGTGGACCACCTTCAATAGTGTTAATAATCTCCAAAATCACAGGCCCAGGATCACCCTTGTACACCTGAAGAGCTTGCCTGAATTGAAATAAGTATTGATATAAGTCCATGTTTAAGCCCATGCTCACGTCTGTCTACACAAGGTATGCTCTAAACTTTGAGTGTGGCTGACGTACTGAGCTAAAATGCAAAAGCAATTTCATGGAAAAAGAAATTTTACATACTTAAACTTCACACGAGCTTGTCCATAGTGCTCCATACGAATTAACGCATGTCCCCAAGCATTCCATACAGGAAAAACATCAATCTATAACAGGCCATTGTCAATAACTAGAATTTAACAGTTCTAGTAGCTCCAAGAATGTCTGGTAAATTATCTACCTTGCACTTTTTGCTGGTATAGACACCCATGCTATACCTTTCTTCCATGATCAACCTGTCACGAAGCCGGGCAGATGACTCTCCATCAGCAATGTCGTCAAGAGAAGCAGCAATTCCAGATCCCAAAAGACTTTGAAGCAGCTCTGCACGTCCCAACCAAATATCCACCTGTGACATATATTCTGATAGCTCATCTGTGGATTGACTACCCACACTAGAGCTACCAGCATCAGATGATGTGTCATCAGCATCCCTACCTCTTTCAGAATTACTTAGCAACTCAATGCCTCCAGTGAGCTTTCTTAGCAGAGACTTGGCATAAAGTAGACCCTAAAAATGCAACATCAAAATCACATCTTGACACATGGGAATTAGGAATAATAGCGGTAATTAGGGGAATAAGGAATATAAGTGTAGTTTGAGTATCTAGATATATTCTTTACAAATAGGTTTCTAGGTTGTAATGAATTATTATGAATCGAATTAGTCTGTCTTTCTCTCCATTTCCCTTCTGCCTCCTCTCTCCCTCTCCTCCTTTCTCTCCTACCTCTATCACATCTTTTATTTGATAGACAAATGATCATGATGGCTATGATAAATGATGCCATCATCTTATGAATACTAGAAAAGCGAATAAACATGTTTCCTAAAAGATCATTAACATTTGACAGGACATTATCAATGATTACTTGGCTTCCAATCCCATGAAGTACCTGCACAAATGCTTCTGTGGCATGATATGCACGCCCAATTGTTTCCATGGTTGCACTGTTGGGCACCTGCTGTGAGCTCAAGACATTCTTCATCTGATTAATGCATAAATCTAGGGCAATTTTGGCAGAAAATGATTCATCAGAACATAGAGAAAGCAGTGCCTGCAAAGAGAAGAGCAAGCAATTAAGGCACGTGAAATGTTAACATGGTAAGGCATACTAGTATTGCATCGTTGCAAACACCATTCATTTTCGAAATGTTGTTGCTACCCAATGTTTTGAAAATACTGTGACTTTCATTCACCGATCATTACTTATAAATGCATATATGCCACATCCAATATTCTGATCAACTCACAACCATACCTTGAACAGTGTGATGTCAGGGGCACTTTCATATCGGTGAGATGAACGAATGCCTTCATCTTTATTTGGGTCACCTGTGAGCATCCATTCCTCTGCAATGGAAACAGAAGGAAGCCGCCCTTGGCCATCAGCAGAAAATGGTGAAATACGATCTTCTTGAATTCCAGTCATTGCCTCCCAAGTGATTCTATCAGATGGTGACAATCCAGAACTTTTTCTTTTCCTATAAACATCTTTTGGAGCATTTTTTTCCACAGTATTTCTTGGAGCCCATGAAAAAGCTCTTCGAGCCTCTTTTTGTAAATTACTCAGACTGCTCGTGAAAGATGACCGTTGAGGGACAACTGATCTTGTTTTTGGCTTTGGCCTGGATCCTGAGACAGATATCCGATGTTCTCTGGCAGGTGAGCTAATACTAACAGCAATGGCCTTAGTTGCATATGCAGTAATTACATTGTTATCTCGTAGAGAAGGAAATTCCTTTAATATCTACAGAAAATAAAGTCAAGTATCATATTGAGAATAAAAGATAAATAATCTACAAAAAATAATCGAAATATTGATAATGCATGAATTGTGCACTCATGATAAACAAAATCCACACATATAAGGGGGCATGTCATCACTAATGCTTAAAAACTTAAAATTACTAAGAAGGTGCTTATCAGTCCAAGTGACAACGACAATACCAGTGCAGCAGATTGCAATTGTTTCCTCATTAAGAGCACTTCCAAAATCAAATGAGGATACTCATGCAGGGAAGAGCATCTTTGTTGCCATGGTACTGGCAAGACAGCAAGAACACGAAGCCCTAAAGCCCATGAATTAAGCCGAGAAATCTCAACATCAGACAGATTTCCTTCTCTCCGCTTGAGGAAGAAGTGAACCTTCAAGTATTGTGGAGAAACTATCACTGAGGTGAAAATGGAATTCTAAAAATCCAAATAGAACTTTGAGCAGTCTATATTATTATTCATTAAAAAAGGGTAAAGATGCAGGTGAAATGCTGGATTACAAGAAGTTGCTTTGAACGCAGATTGGGCAACAGCTGCATTGCACCCATAGCCACAGGCAAAGCATCATCTGTGTCACGTAATGAGGAGAGAAACCGTGAAGCTTCAGCCGGTCCACCACCATTAAGAGGGTCTGCAGTTAGAAGTTTCACAAGCTGCCGCCCTTGCAACTCTCTCCTTAAATCAACTGACAGTCTTGCACTTTCTGCGACTTCTAATGCAGCAGAAACAGCTCCTTTCCCAGCTAACCTAAGCGCCAGTCCCTCAGGATCTTCCTTGCAATCTGCTTCAACCTATAAAAGTATTTTCAAAGGAGACATAGGCTACTATAAGAAAAAGGCTTACTGGAAAAATATATTTCTATAGAAGCAGAACAAAAGTATGTTTCAAAGATTTTACAGCAATTTCAATTGAATCCTCGAAAAATAGATGGTAGATTGAATTTGATGGGAAAAAAGATATCACAAGACTACGATAAGGCAGGAACTGACTTCATTCATGACGTGTTACAATTCAAATAAGAAAATACAACCTCTTGCCAGCTTGTGTAGTGATCATCTGCACTTAATATGTGACTGTACTTCTGCAAAGCTTGTTTCATTTGCAAAACCTAAGCATTTCAAAGAAGTGTCAACTAGGACAAGAAATAGGTGAACCAACGGTGTTAAAGGCACATTAGAAATCACATTATCAGGCCCCAATAGAGAATATAATAATAATTAAAAAAGTCATATTATTATTATATTACTATTATTATTAACATACTAATAATTAAAAAAATAGAGAAGTCCAGCACCTCTGTCGTGATTGGATCACTCTGAGGTAGATGGCAGCTGCACATTGTGAGAACATCCAAAGCAGCATCCAATTCCCAGCTGTGCACATATCTAGAGAAAATTTTTGAAATTAGAGATTTGAGAATGACATGTAGGACAAGGCAAACTTCAGATAATGCAATTCATTGGCGATAAGTAGAAATGCCTAGAGATTAAGAGGATCAAATCAGGAGGGAAATGCCAGTCACAGGAGGAAACATTGTATCATACAAAAATATGGAATTTCTTGTGATCATGAGAATGACATGACTCAACACACCTTAGGGAAAGTCTAGCTGCCAGCTGTTTGTCTTTCAGCCTTAGGCAATACTGCCAACTATTGCTCCATATATTATGTCCTCCATATCCTTGTCGTTGTGGAGACATCGATTGGTTGTCTTCTTCACGTTCAATGAGTAGTTGAAGGAGCCGATCAGAAGCTCCATTACGTAGAAAGCGGTCCGAAATTGCAAGGGCATCCATTAGCTTTCCTTCATCAATTAGTCTGCAAAAGATGAGGGGGGAAATACTCTGTAAAGTAGACATTGCTTGAGAAAGAAAAGCGACAACAATCAACATATGGAAACTACCGAACCATGAAAATACAAGAAAAATCACAAGTTTGAAATGGGAAAAGACATTAATTCAGTCGGTAAGGTTGTGCAATGAACAACAAATAAACGAAAGCAAAATATCAGTTGTTCAACTTTCCTTTTTTTGGTCTAACTCAACACTCTATCATAATAAACATGTCAAATAATTTTATGCTACCTACAAAAAATATGTCAAACAATTGTAATCTGATATAAAGTGAAAGTAACTTTACTAATATGAAGTCTATGACAATGTATAAATAATGCAAGGTTAAAGACCTTACTTAAATGAAGCTAAATAACAAATATTGATCTACAGAAGGTACTTTTCTGTCAGAGATACAAAGCACTTGCTACGATAGATGGTGTGTGAACAAATCTTGTTTGATTGATAATACCACATAGGCACTCATCTAATGTAAGCGAAATGACATAACTTACTGAAAACAGGAAATTATACAGAAGAACAGGATGATAAACTATAATACCGTTCCACAGCCTTCTCATAGGGCTCTTCATTATCCCAATCAAAAGAAAGGAACACTGTGGTGTCAAGTTGAGCAGCTTCAGATTTTGAGGAGTCATGCCAAGGGTCTGTAGCTTCAACCTCCTGGTTACTCAGGTCTGCCAGAGCTACTGGAACAGTACTGCTACCAACAATCTCATCAACTTCTGATTCTGTGTCGCTGTCCTGTTCACGAATTCTCTTAACAGAAGTTCTTGCTTCAAGTTCTTTATCAGCAGTTTGATTAGAAGTTACAGCAAATTCTGAAACTCGATGGAGGTTAGTTTGCATTTGTATCCACCTGTTTAGTGTTGGGAACCTGTACATCAAGAAAGGAAATTAAATTTAATATCTAGTCATCCTTATACATAACATGCAACTTTGCATCTTAATTTCTGTTGGATAAAAAAGAATTTATTAAGGAAAAGTAAAAAAGAGGGAAACAACTGGAGAAAAAAAAACTAAAGGGAGGGAGAATAATTTGAAAATATTTGACAAAGGAAGGCCTTTGTTACTTACATCTATAACGGTGAAGATTGTTTAGCTTAAGATACAATGATGCAGAATGTACATAGCATAACTAAACAAAGAATGGTAAGCTAACAATATTTTAATAATAAGCAAAGCCAAAAACTTGTAGAAACTCAAAGAACAGGAATTCACTTGAGAATTCTCCAATTGCTTTGGAAATTCATAAGAGAAACCAACCCCCCACCCCCAAAAAAAAAATGTAGGAACTCGAAGAAAAGAAATTCACTTTGGAAATTCATAAGAGAACCCCCACCACCCCCAAGCCTGGTTGGACAAAAACAGTAACCCATGAGCTGACCCCCATAATGAAGCCAAGAAAACAACTCTCTCATGAGAATAGACGTGAAGAAAAGTCTGATGATAAACTCTAACATTATAATACGTCCATAAGCATGAGAATCACAATAACAAAGCTTGCTTCCAAGTGGTGCTGAAACCTTCCGTACGAAAATAGACACACATGCAAAAAAGAAAGATATTAATAAATGTCTGATTACTTATGATAATTCAATGAGATTGTACATCTCAAAGTAGATATATGCAAGATAGTTTTAATGGAAACCCATACAGACAGAATAAGGGGTGCTACCTCTCAGATTGATCAAGAGCAAACTCATAAAACAGTCTATCAGCATCAGGAGCGTGCAGTAATCCATCATTTAAAGAACTTGAAATTGAAGAATCACTGCCATTGTACAGTATACTACTTCCAAACGCGCAAGCCAAGACAGCCCTCACAGGTGATATTTTTGCCAAATGTTTCACAACATCTAACTGCAGAGGATATAAAGGAACACCAGGAGTTGCTGAAGAACGAGAATAGCAATTTGGCTTTGCATCTTTTGAGCTGGGAGACAGGACTTTATAGTCAGAGCCACTCTTAGAAAAGGCAGGAACAACTGGAATGCATGCCCACCCATGGCCAGACCGAGGAGGATAGACTGGAGGCACACATGCAGAAATTACCTCATGCACAAAATCAGCACCCATAATATCAGCTACTTTTACAGCTGCATCAGTACTGCCTCTTTCAAAGACCAGACGAGTCAAAAGCTGAAAAGAAGGAACAGGAAACATAAACATAAAATTATCACAGGAAAGCGAGATATGCTAATGCCCCAAAGCATCAAAGCTTGTTTAAGAACACCAAATCCTAAATTGATCAAAAATTGTTAAACATGCAAGGAACTAAATATCACTATTGTATTTTCAGCATATTAAAATAAAACAAAATACTTTTCTAAAAATTTTGCATAATTTTGATCAGCAAAGATAGCTACAAAATATATTTTGATTATGGAATTAGACATTGCAAGAAGAAGAAATAGATCAGCTGCATGTGCGGAGTGTAGTCATTATCATGGCAAATTTTAGTCAAAATCAACCATAATAAATAAATCCCTATTGTTTGAGAACCTTACATCCTTTGGCCACTCGTACACCACAGAGAAAAAATTAAAATCATGAGTAGTATCAGTTCCATCAACTATGTCACCAATTGCAGCAACATGAAGAATGAACTGTGACAAATATGTAACAGGTTTGGCACTCAAGGGACGGAATATTCTCTTCTCAGGATCTTTCATATCATAACCAACAGACTGCATGCCAGTGTCTCCTGCACTTGAACTTGAAGATAATTGCCTGACAACTCTTAATCCAAGACCAAGAACAATGTCCTTCTCACCGTTTGAAATAACACTCCGTTCAGCATATAACCCTTCACCTCTAGTAGCACTTGATTCAGTCTCTTCATCAGCAACAGCTCTAGCAAGGTTATGAAGCTTACCTACAATGCCACAGTATAAAGCCATGTGAGGTCGCAGTAGTACCCAGGGTACAGACACTTCGCTGTCCCAAAATATCCAAGGTAAAGGGAGGAATCAAAGACCCAAAATATTGTCTAGAAACATGCCCAAAAAAATAAGAGGTACCACTCAGAAACTGTCGCTTGCCCCTATGAGCATCTTCAATCATCTGATGTAGAAGAGCAAGGGCACGCTCCCTCTGTTCTTGTCGTTGCATTTCCTTTGATGAAGGGATGAAAATTTCCCGAGACAGGATAGCCTGAAGTGCTGGAGGGTTGTCCTAGAGGAGCAGATCACAAAATAGAATGACCAACAAGATCATATATTTCATCACAGAATTGATATTCACTCGCATGCTGACAAAAGTATAGGCAGAAAATCTGATACAATTTTCATTGAGAAAACACGAGGAAATTGGAATAAGAACCCGAAAAATATTCACAAACCGTTAAGTTAAATGTTCTGCTCATAGGCATATTAGGAAGTGGCAAAATGCTCAAATTTTGAGGGAGAAATGTTTATTTAAGCAGAAAAGATGGGTTCCCCAACAGTTAAAACCAGCAAAGTAAGTCATATTTTGTAAATGACAGACAGGATTCCTTGAAAATGACTCGGAATAACAGCAAGTGCTAACCTGCTCCAAGACCTCATGCAGCTGCTTCAGAAGACGCCGTGAAACAGAGATTACACCCATTTCAAGGATCTGATCCCAATAAGTTGAACCTACTTTGGGAGATCCTCCAGGATAGATCTCAGACAATATAATTTGAGCCTGCGTATCATGTAGTCCTGTCAACATGGAAAAAAAGCTGGAAGCACTAAAGAAGGCAACCATTGAGACTAAAGGCAAGATTTGATCAGCCTGTATTGTCTAAAATGATGCCAAAATCAAGCCCATAATTTGGAGTGTGTCATCAAAAGCCTTTCCATCCTTCCTCAATTTCATTTTTTTTAATTTCTAATTAGGATAAGAGGGTTTCAACATTAAAAACTTCTCCCCCTACTACGTGCTTTAGATGTAGTTCTAACATGAAAATGACTACCTAATTGCTTTTATACTGTCCACTGCAGCAGCTTCACCCCTCCTACTAGGTTTTACAGTTATGACAATGGGCTACTTGTACCACTATTTGGCACATTAGCATGCAAAGAGTGCTTGTAATTATAAAGATACAGCTTTCTCCTTAAACTTATTATGGGATAGATGGTATAAACCATGGTCTCTCTAAATAAATTCCTCGCACCTATATGCAATGTTAAGTGGCAGAATTCATTGTCCTAATGGATGATGGAAAATCGAAGAATCCTACTGGAAGCAAGAAAGCTTCGGATTTGATTAGATTCACTCTGTGTGCCTTATGTTTTATTAGTTACCTTTATTTTAAATTCTTAGATTTAGATTATCTTTTAAATAAATTTATTTTAGATTAGGATTATCCCATCTTTTTTGTTCTTAATGTAATCCTAGTTTTTAGGATTACAGTAGTTTAGTTTAACAAAGATTAAGGCTCAATATAGCCCTGAAGTTTCTTCATTTGGGAGACCATTATAATAATTTGAATGAAGATTGAATATCTGAATTATCTTTCTCCCTCAATTTCTTCTACTTCTCCCCCCATTCTTTCAATCTCTCCTTCCTTTTTCTTCTCCCTGCATGGTTTTACTGCAGGTCTGCATTGTTTTATATCAGGCCTTTTCTTCTTCCTGCTGTGTTTAGTTATTATGCCTTTGCAAGGAAAAGCATATTATCTTTTTTCCTCCCTTCACCTTCATCAATTAATGTTTCTTGTCATTTAAAAAAAAAAAGAACTTATTAGGTGAGTGTCACTTGTAACCTATACAAAAAGTCACCTGATTCAGAAGTTGTTGCGACATCTTTGCAGACCTAGCAGAAGTTGCAGCAACGTCAATACAGAGAAGAATCTGTCAAGAAGTGCATTTTAATCACAACTAATCATATAGGAAAAATACTTTTCCCTTTCACATGAAATAACAAAGCTGGAACTTTTCTCTCATCATTTTAGGCACTTACTACAGCCACAGGACCTAATTGAGAGCGCAACAAGGAAAAATCTAGATCCTGTACATGGGACACCACATCATCTACCTGCATACAAAAGCAAAATGAATATATATACATACATATATATATATATATATATTCAGGTTGATAGAAAAAGAAACTTAGAAAAGATAGAATAGAAAAACACCCCCTGGGGGGGGGGGGCGTTCCAATCCATCTGAATATCCACAAGGATACAATTTCTTAACTGCAAACATGACTACTTAACTGAAAAGATAGAGTTTATGATGGTCCCACAAAACATGAGCACTGATTGTTAAAATGATAACACTATCTAAATCTCCAAAGATAAAAATCCAAAACCCATCAGTGCTACTATTAAATCAACAACACATTGTAAAAATAAGTGCGAGGCAGGACCCAAGTTGTACGGACCAACGGTCAGAGTGGTCTTTTTCCACCATGGCAGCCACAATGGTAATGACCACACAAAGTAATACAATAAGGAGAAAATAGATCCCCAAGCAACATAGTCCCTGACTGCCAAAAGGTTATTCTGAGTAAGAGTGACCACTACTTAAGAAAACTAGAATATTTACATGAAAAGACATGGGATGAAACAGTGGGGGGGGGCCTCCCAACAGCCTAGAAAATAAAAACGTGAAAGAGATGCATAGAAATTTCTCCATATGAAATCATATTGGGACAAGAAGTCTGAATATCCTTCTTTTACAAAAATCAAGGCATTCATTCACACTGAAAGAGCATTCTACACTGGGCTACAAATGCCTGTCACATTTCTTACATAGCACTTTCAACTGCCTCTCATCTAGTATTTTATACTTATTTAATGTGCAAATAAGGTCAAATGTGACATGAGAAGAGTCAAATAAAATGCATAACATACAGATGCTTTTCTGCAGGCACTATCTACCCATTCAGCTAACTCGAGGGTAGCCTTATCTTCAGCAGATAATGAAAATCTATGGACTGCTTCTTCTCCAATATCAAACTTTGCTTTTTGCATGCAACTGCAGAAAAATGTGAAAAATTAAAATCGATTATTTAGTAACTGTTAGTATCAAGGCTGCAACAGTATTTGCAGCTCACAATTTAGGCTTCTGCACTAGCTTCAGCTAATTGTATATTCAAAACATAAATTCTCTATTACACGGGTAAGTTTACGCCAGTTGAAAACATTCAAAGAAATACAGATAGAAAACCCCAATACTTTATTGGAAACAAACTTATTGCAACCCATAAATATAATGGAACCAATCTGATTGTCCAAAGAGCTCCACTTCCTTTTCGATAAGAAGAAACTATCAGATGAGAGAAGATACCTACTCAAAAGACCACGAGCAAAAATAAAGAGAGGATATAATAACAATCTTATCCCCAATTGTTCTACCAGATAATAAATCTGTGCAGAAAATTATCAGTAAACTCTATCCAGAGGAGCTACTGGTACAGAGCAGAGAGAGAAAGCTGGATCTAAATGACAGTGATTGTATTTGATCAGTATTCAGTCAAAACTTGAAGATGCAAATATCCAACTTCAGGAGGAATGTCGGAGATTAAATGTTATTCTGCATCACTTATTTTAATAAAGATTCAATTGTTTCTTAGTTATTTTTTAAATAATGCTTCTATGCATCTAGGATTGGCTTACTTAAGTATTCTATTTTGGCCGGGTGAGATTAGTTTAAGTGTTCTGCTTTATTTAGGAGAGGATTAACATTAGATTATGTCCCTTTCACTCTCTCTTTGTCATCAATGTCATGCAGATTCCATCTAATAAAATAAGCAATAAGTTCATATGATCATTAACACTGAATTTCTACAAATGGACGCGAGAGAGAGAGAGAGAGAGAGAAGTACAATTAAATATAAGATCATGCATCAGGGAGCCCTCAAACTTATCTAATTTCCTTTATATTTCATGCTCTGAATCTTTTTTCTTTTTCTTTTGCGGAAAGAAAAGTAGATTATATTGAAAAGAGACAGATCATATATATAGTGGGAGAATATACTTCCCTTAAGAACAACAGAACATGAAAAAAAAATTTAGGGGAAAAAATAATATCAACTCAAAAACACAACCCAATCTCAGCAAAGCCATCAAAGAAACTCCCCAAAACAGGCCAAGTTCAAATTGTGTAACTTACTAGATCTTCGCCAGTGACAAAATTGAATGAATAAAGGCAGATAGTCAAATTTCATGCATACAACATTTCAACAGAAGCCAGAGAAAAAGGCAGCTAACTCAGGATACGCACAACTTCTAAAAAGTTAATAAATCAATCACAAGCTATACAAGGGCACTGGCGTTACCCACAGGTTAAGTAGCTTGGAAGGGGCAGCACGTAACACTGTCAATGCCTCCTTCCATCTCCACTGCCGCTCTGAAAATGGTAGAAGATGCTGCAATATTGACAAACGCCATTCCCACTCTTCAATGAAACGCTTCGCAATTGAAATTCTCCAATCCAGAGCTTGTATGCTAGCTGTGCTTGGACTGTCATCTAATGTGCTCTCTAACTCAATCACAGAGGATATATTATGGCGCAATATATCAAGTAGCATACCAGTGAAAGATATAACCATTTTATTTCCCCCTTCACATTTAATCGGATCACCATGGTCACAAGAGAATGTATCGGACATTTTAGAATCACTTCCTGGGGATGGACAATGCATTGAATTAAGGGAGAGATTATCCATGTGCAAGAGTGAAATTATGACATTCACCATAAAGATCTACATAATCAAAAAATTGTGTTAGATACATATGATGCATAACAGGGGGACAAAAAATCACTAACGGTCTTCAAACTCTTCATACCAGAGCTTACAAGATAAAAAATATTTTAATTTAAAAAGGATTAAAGAGCTCATGGATGATGCAAAAGAATGCCACAGATCCTATTTGATTAAATTTACAGCATCTGGGAAAGGATACATGGCATTACATATCCTATATGAACTTTTCTCCCACATTTATGTTGAGAAAAACATGTGATTGAATGATCCAAAGACAGTAGATGATTTCATAATATTTAAAAATCAAAGTAAGGAATATAAAAGACAGAAAAGATTATAAAAGAGTTTTAAAAAAAAACATATTACTATTACTGGCGAGACAATTCATATAAGCCAGGTGACAATTATCAACTGAACTTGCAAAACATAAATATATGAAAAAGAAACCACCCACAATTTTTATCATCTTGAGAAGGCAACCATAGAGCAAAAATTTGACACCATCAGTCACAAGAGAATAACCTTGCGAGGTAGATTACTGATGGAATCCAAATGGTTACGGAGATCTTTCAAATGACATAACGCCGCTAGTTGATGAGCTTCATCAGAAATGCTCCTTTCCATTGCTCCTAAAGCAAGAACAGTTGACTCTAGAGCATAACGCATGTGCATGAGTTCCACATCTTGCATCCTAGGTCAACGATATGGTTCATGAAGAAAAACCAACAAAGAAAAGGAAGACCAAGCCTATAGATAATGGGAGGCGACAATCTAGAGAATGTTGATAGTTTCATATCAAAGGTTAAAACAATTTTTATTTGCTTTGAAGTGAAAAGAAATAGATCTGTTGATACTTCAATATCAAATTTTACACAAAAGTTGTAGGTCATGCAGAATAATGTTATAAAATCAGTACTAGCAGACATTTAATGCCATACGTATACTTAATCAAAAAGATCAGCAGATATATCAGAATCATGAGTGGGCACTACAATTCCCATCCCATAACCTACATTTAGAGCCCCCCACCCCCGGGGGCTCCACATGCCCATTGAGTTCTTGAATCCCCAGACCAGAACCCATTTGCCTTGAAAATTTTTGAACTGAACAAGTTTCTCTCAATCTTGAGATTCATTTTCCTAAGACCTGTACTTATCACAAACAAAATAAAAATGTCTTAAAACAATTATCAATATAATTCGAAACCCATTCAATGCTATTTGAATCTTTTTAAAAAACTTTCCTCATAATGTATTATATTGATTAAAGAATATAAATTATGAACAAATATTAACATAAAAATCTATAACAAGTGGCACAGTTTTCAAGTTGTAACTATAGTATATTTTTTAGACTCTATGCAAAACACGAGGAGTCCACCTAATTCACACACACACACACACACACACAGCCCCAAAGATCCCCGGACTCTATCGAGTGGGTAAGTTTTATAGGGTACCCATAGGGTATAGGCACGTTGACACATTCATCAGTAGTCCATCTTGAACAACTAGATATCACATTTTAAAGCTACAAACTCAAATAGCTAGTAGCTAAAATAAGGAAGTAAGCAAGATACTTTATTCTAGATGTATCTAGGTACCAGGAGGATACTTTATCATGAGTGCAACTTAAATCAGCATCTTCAAAGGTACCAGGAAGAGTTGGCACTTGGCAGACCAAAAATTCTATCTGATATCTAGGTGTTCCTAAGAAGTGCAAAGATTGTTTATGATGCAATAAAAAAATCACAACTCAAATGGCGAATGGCTTATTGCAGGCCAACTAGGTAGCAATAGTTTATCACAACCAGCACCTCAAGGTGGTAGTATCAGAGTTGATACCAAGATGTCAGTACATCCCTTCAAATGAGGGGGGAAAAAGAAAAAGGAAATCAATGAGCACACCTCTTCCAAGAAGCCAAAGTGGAAGAAATTGGCTCCATAGTGATCAATTCAATAGCTTCCTGGAATTCTATTCCTGGGACAACATCAAATAGCACCTACAGAAAAATATTTCCAGTCATAAGACAAAAGATATGTAGAGACATGAAATTATTTTAAATTAATGTCATGAGTGCCATTCTAGACCAGCCAAAAGAATGTTTATTTAGACCTTCCAGAGGAGCAATAGAGATATGAATCCAAACTATCCCATTAGCAACAAAGACAGTAGTTAAGTTTCACCCAATGACAACATGGAACATGAATGCTTAGACAATCAAAGAAAATCTCTGCAGATTCAAATGTATACATATGGTCACTTTTATAAAAGAGAAAAGGAGAACTTACTAAAAGCATCTTCAGAAGAAAATATTTTCAAAATAATTGCCTCATAGAAGATGGTGAAAATAACCTACTTTCATTTCATTCCAAGATAAAAAAAATCTCAAATTAATTCTAAAATTTCCATTCAGAATATTAATCCTTTACAATTCGTCAAATAACTTCCCTTTCAAATTATATCAGCAAGTTAAATTGCAATGAGACACTATTCAAAGTTTGGAGTGCCTGCCTACAATAGTTTTCACTGTCAACAAACAGAAAAGTAAAGATTACTGTATTGTTGAATAGCACTAAATCAAGTGCGTAGCTTTTTGGGAGCTGATAATGAACTGAATCACAAGGGCAGAGTTAAGGACTGGTACCAAATTAAAATGGATTGGAACCTTACCATTTTAGCTAAAAAAGGTCAACATAAATGGATGGAACTGAATAGTTCTAATATTATAGCGAAATAAATAAAGCCTACTCTCTATGTGTGGCTTCTTAGTAGATTCTCCCTCTTGTCTTCTCTTATACTAGGCTCACATGTTCGCTGCACGCATAATATAAGCGTTCACAAGTAGCATCGCTTCTATTTTATGAAGAAAATTAAGTATAGGCTACCCCAGAAACTGCTGCTTGTGACAAATAAAAAGATCAATTCATTCAACCACACTGTAGGAAGGAAGAACACATTAAGGGAGAAAAGTAATACAGAGAAACGTATTATAAGTCATTCACGTCATTAATTATTGATAAGCAATTGCAACCCTTCAAAATGAAGATAATCTAGAAATTCAAGCTTGCAGATAACAATGCTGTATATTACCCGTAGGGGACTTTGGACAGAAAGTCTTTCCAACACAAAGTTCTCGACAAAAGGGTCAGAATAAGCATCTTCATCTCCCAACGCCACTTGTCCTTTTCCAGACAGTGTTAACGAGAATTTTGAATTCCAAGACCGACCAGAATTAGCAAAGGCAACAAAAGAGGCAAGATCAAGCCGATAACATAAAGTGTCACAAAGTTGCTCCACACAGGACATCTGCCAAGGTATAAAATCATATTTACCAGTGACTTTCCCACTAAAAATATCCAGTACCTCAAAGGACACCTGAAATATGAAGAAAAATACCTCATCTGATTTATAACCATAAAGAGAAGATTCCTCCAGCCGAATTACTTGTGACTTGCTTTTCCAGAGAAGTTGCATTAATTTCCTCCGTGCTGCTATTTTACCGGCCAGCAAATCCCAACCCATGGCAGCTACCAATGGCTGAAGTTGGGGAAACAACTGGAGAGCCTGCAGCATACATTAAGTATGCATATTTATAGTTATACTTGAAAATGCAGCAGTCTAGGAGAACTTAAATTTGTAGTTCATGCATCTAAAGATGAAATAGAAGTATACATGCTCAACAGACTAGTGAATTAACAAAAATGGACACACACATTGCTTGCTTCTTCAAGTTGCTCCCTCTTCACAGCAGACAGGGCAGTATCCATGACACACTCAAGTACATGTAGTCCAGAAACACGAGCGTAATGGTACATCTCTGCCTTACAAGAACTGACAACCTTGTTCAGGAAAATTGTCTTATCATCTACAACCTGATGAAGCCTCAACTCTGTACAATATCTCAGAAACCGTACAAGAGGAGGTGGGACGGAGTTGTCAGTTTGAGCTCTATAAACTTCAATCTCTTCAGACAGCAGCTCATTATGAATGGTCTGAGGAAAAAGCATTGATATCTGATATAGCTTTTTTATTTAAAAATAAAAAATAAAACTCATACATACAATATAGCAACATAAAGCAATAAAGCATTTTACCTACAGACACCTTTAAAACAATTTAAAGAAGATTTATGCCAAAGAAGACCCTCTAAGTAGTTGAGAACATGCACCTGTATCATTTGAATAATATCCCTGCAATCCGATGAAAGGGCTTCTCCATAAATCACAAGCAATAGGTCACGCATGGCATTCCAAGAATCATCAAACTTCTCACTTCTTGATAAAACACTCTTCATGAGATCTTTCAAAACTATGCTACAAAAAAATATTAAAGAAAATGGAGATATAAACATCTAGAAATAAGCCATGCAGCATGAAAACAAGAAATGGAGAAGAGAGTTCCCCAACTGCAATAGGAGTTCAGATTAAAGAATAGTACATGATCACTGATTCAAATTCCCAGGTAGCAAAGTGCTCGTAACAAAATGCAGGAAAGGAGAATAAAAGAACATCAGGAAAGTACATGAACAAATGCATGCATACAATACACACATACGCATAAGTCAAGACATGGAGCAAATATCAAATCATATATTATAGTATGAGTTGTTGCTTACATCCTCAAACTAAAAGGCGAAAAAGATAATAGGAGATTCATTGTTCCTTATGTTAAAGAGAGAGGAAGTTGGACAACATATCCTCCAAAATCAGCAAGAAGCAAAGAATAGAAAATAGAAACAAAGAGAATAACCATCAAATTAAAAGAGATAACCAATCCCTTCATAAAACCACATTTAATTTCATATAAAACCTAGAAATGAAACCATAACAAGTTTCCATAACAGATTTTTGACTTGCCAAAGTTCATGATCAAACAACGTCCCTAAGCACATGAACCATGGCCAATGAAAGCTCCAGTTAAGGTTGAAATGAAAAGCAAATTTACAAGAGATGACAAAGAAAAGTAGGGAAGTCAAAAAAAAAAAAAAGGTCCCAGAGAGAGAGATACCTGGATTGAATACACATTCATTCTAATGCAGGTACAGTACTTCAACTTCCATATTGCCAATATTTTTTATTTAATATTTTTCAAAACTTTTGAAATACACTTTTACGTTTTGAAACAGCTCAAAAAGTTATAAGAAACCTTGGTGAAGTGAATAGCGATGAGGAATGACAATTAATTTGAGTTAAAAACTTCAGTTTCAACTTAATTTGTTTTTCTTGGCCGCTTTTCCTTATCATAGATATTTTATTTCACATTATGTAAATTTTCATGTATTAATTTTATTATTATTATTATTGTGTATATATATATCCTGTATCCATATCTTGAAATTTTGAAAATTGTTACATCCCACATATCTTGTCGTAGATTCCATGTCTCATCAAACTATATCAATGTATCGGTGCAACCTAGAGTGGGAGCAATCAAAATGAAAAGGAAATACTTAGAAAAACAGAGAAGTCGTTAAAATTACGTGAATGGTTTATCAACAAAAGATTTATTCAGATTATATTCCAGTTACGTGATAGGGGCTAGTATTTCAACACGCAATTCATTCATTCAGTCCCCATAAAGACTTGAGAACTCGTAATTTGGCGTAGATTTATACCATGGGAAACTTATCAAGTACAATGAATCAATATCAGACAAAGATATGTGCAATGAATGCTGGGCAAGCATGGACATACCGGTACTCAGATTCCACGATTCCATGATCAAAATGAAGAAATCTAATATGCGAAACTGCTTCTTCCGTATCACCCGCTTTTAGACCCTGCTTCATGGCATCCAGATGAACCACCTGAACAGTCCTTAGTATTAAACCGAGTATTCTAACACCCTCTTCTTTCGACAGCTCCACCAGGCCATCATCACTTCCCCCAACAGTTGTTGCTAAGCCAGGATCGTAGCATTCCGGATGACAAATTTGCTTATGTATATTCCCACAAAGTGCATCAAAAATATCTGCATGATCCAAAATCACCCTCCTCAGACACATCAACTCTCCTTCTTCAACAGGAGCAACACTGGCAGAAACCGAAGTCCCAGGCCTGTCCATTTCGACATCTACTTCTGGCTTCAGCCTATTCATTCCCAACTCCAAAATCCTATCCAAAACTCTCATACAGCTGCTTGAGTCACCACTTCCATCTCTTAATTCTTCTCCTTCATCCAACTTAGTACGTTGGTCCTCTAAACTTCCCCTGTCCTTTAAAATATCTTTTTCTTTCTCTATGCTTACGTTCTTCTTCGTCCTTTCTGACAACAGGTCGATCAAATTTTGAACTAACAACAAGAACTCCGAGCGTAATCGCAGTGTTTCTGAGTCGAAGTTCCATCCGGAAGAAGCATTATCGAATTGTAACAATTCAATCGTCGCTAAGTGGGTGAGAAGAGCAGGAGAAGAACAAGAGGGTGACCATAAAATATTCTGGAATCGGCCAGAGTGAGCAACGATGGTCTGTAAAAAAGAGCGAGCTAGGTCACGATTCCGAGTTCCAAGGGCAAAAAGAATAGCTCGTAGGGGTTCAAATTGAGCAAGGTAGAGGTGGTTAGCGGCCAGACGAGCCACGAATTGCGTTTCTTTGGCCATTTTGCGTTGAGAAATAATTCCCGATGTTTGTGATCTCACTGCATCTAAAGTTAATTGATCGAATCTGGAGGTGTTTGGGATTGATTGCCTAGATTTTGCAGCGTGTGGATTACTGAATTGGAAGATGACCTGTTTGGCTCGCGAGAGGGGGGGGGGGAGATGAAGGAAAACTAGCTCAAGTGTTTCTCACGTATTCGTAAGAAATGGCGGCACATCCAGTTAGCGCCCAAACGGAGGCTGCCGAGGTGAAGATTAGACGCATGCCGGAAATAAAATAACGGAACTGTGGAAACATTCCTGAAATTAGATTTCGGAGTTTCCAGAATTGAATCAGCATAGTCATCAACCAGGTCATGGTCCATCGACTGGAAGCTGATTCCCTGTTTTATTTTTGAATCAGACGCTGATTTCTTACCCCTATTTGCAGGAATATATTACGTATTATTATTATCATTATTAGATAGATAGGAGGTACCTGATTGCATGACATCTTTACACGAACATGTTTAGTAAGTTAATCTTTGGTTAAAGTATATTTTCAGTACACAATCTGTTGCTTAATTTTATAAAATATTTTTTTGATCTTTTAATATTAACATTATTAATTTTTATTAAAAAAATTCTACATTAAACTTTTAAATAACAAAAATTACTTAAATATTAACATGTTAAATTTAATTTTTTAAAATAATAATAATTATCACAAAAAATAAATATTAAAAACTAACTACGTTGGAGTTAAAAAAATTAAAAAAATATTTTATAAAATTTGAGAATTAAGTTGAAATTTTGTATAAAATTAAAAGATTAAAAGTATACTTTAATCATGGATCTTTTTTAAAATTTATTGATAAAAAAATAATAATAAAATTTTATAAAATTATATAAATAACAATCAAATTCTTTGAAATATTATAATTTTTATAAAATTTTTTTAGGTACTTTTTTAATATTAATAATTTTAAGTTAAATAATTAAATTTTTCCTTGTTTAAAATTAAAAAAATAGGGTCACATAAAAATTGATAATTTCTTATTGTAACATCCCAATTTAAATTTTAATAGTTAATTTAGATTAATAAAAATTTTAAAAAATATTTAGAGGTAAACAAATTAGTAGAAAATGATTATTAAATCTAATTTTGGATATAATTCTAAATGAAAATTTTTAAAAAAATTATTAATTAATTAATTAAAAAATATTATTAAATTATTATTATTATTATAAAAAAAAAGAGAAAAGGTATGAATAAAAAAAAGGGGAAGAAGAAGAAGAAGAAAAAAATTGCTTTCGGCGCCGCATGCAATGATCACACATATAAAATAATAAAAAAAAGAAAGAAGAGAGAGCAAAGGGAAAAATAATTTAAAAAATTGTGGGACCCACATTTATTTTTAAAAGCCACCGTTCTCTTCTCATTTTTCCTTCATTTCCTTCCTCTTTCGTGTGCGATCAAAGAGAGCGTCTATGAGCGTGAGTCGCTGGTGCGAAAGATCTGAATTTTTAAGGTAAGAGTTTTTAATAAAATATTTAGGGTGTGATTTTAAGCTTTTCAAGACTAAGTAAGTGTTCTAAAAAATTTTCTTAGTCATCTTTTCTCTTTGGTTTCTGATTTTATGGTGGTAGAAAATTTAGAATCTGGAAGAGGGATGAATTTATGTTGAATAAATATGATTTATGAGGTTGTTAGTTGTATAATAAATGTTCTAGAGTATAAATTTATTGATGATCTTTGAATTTGTGGCTTATGGATCAAATTCTAAACTAGATCTGAAAATATATGTTAATTTATTGAGGTTTAGATGATTATTTGGGATGAGAAATGAATTATTATGGCTATAGAATTATGATTCTAAGCTAAAGACTCAATTTTTAATTTTTGGGTATTTTAGGTGCGAATTTATAAAATAAAAAGAAAATTTTAATAATAAAAATTAGTTTAGAAGTTGATTTTTAGATTATTAATGTTTATTGATGACTAAAAGAGGAGTTAAAAATTTTACTTAATAGTATTGACTCTAGATTTGTATTAAGATTGAGATTAGAAATTATGTTATATTTTTAATTCTATTATTAGAATTATTTTATTAGTTTCAAAAAATTGAAACTAATATTTATAAATAATATGTTATTTGTAGATTGTATTATTGGTGAAGATTGTGGTGGGAAAGAAATTGTAAGGAATAATTTATTGAAAAAGCCACGAGGTAACCATGCTTTTAATTTGTGATGAGTGTTACTTCATGTTAATTAGGTGATTATTGAGAAAATTATGAATTTTATAATATTATATAATTGTGCAATATTGTTATGAATTTTGTTTGATTATTGCGGGAGGTGTTGGGAGATTTGCTATTGTTGTATTTATATGCCACGTGGTACGCCCCTATTGGAGCTCAATAGGTGGCTTGTATGGGCTTGAGCTAATCTACCTTTAGCTGGGTAATTTAGCTCCGAGTGAGGGCTATGGCTCGAGGTTAATGGAGGGATATAAGAATGGTTATTTGTGTGTATTGTAATATTTCTTATATTGGTTGAAATTATATTATTTTTAATTCTCACTTAATAAGCACACACTTAACTGTTTGTATACACTATCATAAATTGGCTTTGGTTACTCGAACTTTTGAGTCTTCTTATGTGGTTAACCATTTTCAGGAGAAGAGCCACGAGTGACACGCGGAGGAGTCCCAGAGGCTTAGTGGCATAGATTCACTGTCTCTTTTGGGTATTTGATTTATGATTTATAATGTTTTATATTGCCAATATTAGGGCTTTTTGTTTATTGACAATTATATGAATATATAAATGTAATCATGCCTTTCAAACTATTTTTATTTTTGGTACACTTTGAATGACTGTAATTTTAATATTTGATTTACTTTGAATTAATTAAAATGACATGAATATAAGGCCAAATAACTGACTTGTTTTGAAAATTGACTAAATTAGTTATTTTATTTATTGGAAGTATGAGGATGGACAAATGTAATTTAGCCTAATGGCATGTGGGAGCTAAAAATTTAGCTGAAATGTTGTATTGTGCGAGTTGAAGCCAATTATAAAATATTTTTATATTGAAATTATTGATATAAAATGTGTTGGGTGGCTGTAACCCAACTATGGTTAAGTTAAATTATTTTAAAAAAATTTGGTGTGTTACAAATTGACTCATTGGTACCAGACTTGGCCTCAACTTTGTTAAGGTGGTAGAGGTTGGAGGTTTGAGTCTGGGAAGGTTCCAAAAGACCTCTTAAGTGGGGTGAGGAATAGGCACTGTACCACCAGTACTGAATGTTAGATTCGAGCCCCATGAGAGGAGGGATCCTAGCACCGCCAAAAGACCCTGGGGAGGCAATGGTGAGGCCGTGCTGTTACATAAAAGGCACCTTTTAATATAACAGCCATCCGCTCACCCCGTCTCCCCAAGGTCTTTTGTGGCGCTGGACACTCTCCCCCCAGGCCCCACAACAGGGTGACCCCACCCCTTACGGTGAGCATTAGGAGACAAAAGCTTCCCCGCAGTAGTGTGCAGAATTATTCCCCTTGCGGAAAGCCTCCCAGGTTCGATCCTTCAACCTCTCCTACATAACAAAGTTGAGGCTGAACCTGGTACCATTAAGTCAGGGAGGCAGGGTGAGCGGAGGGCTGTTACACTTATTCAATTATTACAATTTATAGAATAAAAGTTATGATTATTTAAACAAAAATTATAACTAATAATTTTTAGAATTTGGATTTCAATAATAAAAAAATTTATATAAAAAGTTGTAATTTTTTATTTAATTTTTATGTTCACATAATAAAAGTTATAATTATTTAAATAAAAATTATAATTAATTATTTTTAAAAATTTGACTTCAATGATAAAAAAATTCATTTAAGAAGTTGTGATTTTTTATTTAATTTTTATAATTCACATAATCAAAATTGTGATTCTTTAAATAAAAGTTGTGATTAAAAAAAAAGCTGCATCCATTATTTTTATTTTAAATAAGGAACAATTTGATCATTTAATGTAAAATTATTAATATTATAAACGTATTCTAGGACTTTAAAGGAATTGTGACATTTCAAAGGACCTCGTTATCATTTATATATTTTGATAAGATTTTATTATCATTTTTTTTAATTAATTACACATTAAAAGAATCAAAATATTTCACACTTTTTAACATGACACTTATTTCTAATATAAAAGAAATTATTGAATGTTTCTTTGTGTTTATTTATAAGAAAAATTATAAATTTTAATAAACATTTATCATATTTTTATAAATTATCTTTCATAAATTAAATGTTTATTTTCACTTCACAAGTTAGTTCATTAATTACAGAAATAAATTAATTTAATTTTTAATTTCAAATATAATATATATAGTTAACTAAATTTTTCAAGGAAAAAAAATTCAGCAAATGACTATTGACATTTTATTTATAAATCTAACCCAAAATTATTTGAGATACTACTGTAGGATTTTAGAACTAAATTGAAATTAAATTTTCATAAAAAATGAATAAAGTATCCTTATTCAAATTAAATTGAATAATACACATAATTAATTTAACAAGTAATGACAAAAAATTAACAAATAACATTACACATTTGACAAGTGAATTATACAAGTTAACAAGTAAGTTGATAAGTAATGATTGATCATATGTTAGACGTTCAACGGGTAACATAATATACTTAACAAGCAATGAAAAGAAATTAACAAATAACATTACATGTCTAGCAAGTCAAATAGTACTTAACAAGTAATTTACATAATGTATTTATTACATTCTAAATGTTGAATGAGTAATATAACAGACTTAACTAATAACAACAGGGGATTGAAAACTAATGTTACTCGCCTAATAGGTAATTTAGTTCACATAACAAATAACCTGACAAGCAGTGTTAGAGAGTTGATGAGTAAAGTTACAACATAAACAAGTCTTGCAAAGTAGCTAAATAAAGATATTTTGATTTTTTTAATATAATTTTAATTCGAACCCAAAATCTTGTAATGATATTTCAAATTATTTTAGGATTGATTTGTAAATATATCACATTAGTGATTCTTTAATGAAATTATCCTTTTTTAAAAATGGTCTCAAGTGGTTATTTTCTCCTTTAATTATGCACAAAGAGAGTAATACCAAAATTATCAAAGGATTATATTA